ACAACCACAAGATATTTTAGACTGAAAATGGATGACCTAGGTAACAGACTAGGTAAACTAGGTCACTAGACTATTCAAGTCCTCCCAGGCTCTTCTCACATGAACCCTGTACAAAAACAGGCCTGGAATCCAGATAAAGAGGTACAGACAGACTGCTGGACATACTTACTGCTGTAGAGAAAAGATTTACCTAGCCCCCAAACCTCACTTTACAGATGTTAAACATACAACCAGCAGAAATCTACTGATGATTCTTTCTTGCTATAGGTTTAAACCCTAAGTTTTATTCAGTCCTTGCGCAGCCTGAATATTAGAAAAAACCATATCTACTTCACAGGATCATAGGTTTAGAACTGGAACTGACCCTAGAAGTGATCCAGTCTCATACTGTTATTTTACAATTAAGGACATTTGTCTGTAATGTCCTCCTCTTTCCCACAGCTTTACCTTCTGAATTCCTAACCATCCTTTAAAACCCAACTAAAATGCTATTTCTTTTATAAAGGTCCCTCTCCCTAGTTCCTCATCTACATTTATAGAAGGGACTCCTTCACTAGGAAAGCTCCATATGTTGATAAAATCAGAGGTCCATATATATTCTTGTGCATACATACACATATACATTTAGATGTACACACACACACACACATCTAAACACACTTATGGATGTACATACACATCATATATATTCACATAGCTGGGGGAGAGAAAAATCAGGGAAAGCTTTATGAATGAGATGGCATCCGGGTTGAGCATTTAAGGGAAGAATTTCACAAGTAGAGATTAGGGTCAGTGGGGGTGGGTGGATAGGAAGACCATCCAAAGCCAAGCTAAGTATATGAGAAGAAATTGGAGAATTGTGGGTAATCCAGTTTATAATCATTTACAGCAAAAGTGGTGTCAACTTTGGTTTCAGAACACAGTGTATTCAATTATCTCCAGTGTCGAGAATCATGTAAAAATTTCAACTTTAAAAAAATATTAATACAAGGTTTGCCTGACTATTCATTCATATAAGCATGTGACCCACACTGGGCTTAGGGAGTCTCTTTCCTTGGAGTACCAGAAGGAAGTTCTTGCCACCAAGATTTGGTTATCTGGGTAAGAGAGATACCATTTTTTTTTTCCAGGAAGGAGAAATGATTTTATGTATTTTTAACATCTCTGGGTTGGAATATATTTTCACCATAGAATTTCAGTTATATTACAGTTGAATTGACTTTTGTGGGATGGCTTAGGAACTTAACTGACATGTAGAATATTATTTCTTTGAGAAAAATTCTTATTTCCAAAGAACTGGATTTCTAAACATGAATTTATGACAGAAGTTCTTTGTAAATTAAGGATCTTCCTGGATGTGCTACAATTTTCCTGTCTTAAAAGTTGAAAAATGCTATCAGGAGGTTAATCATGTTAACATTAATTATGTTTAATGTTCAATAATAATGTTCCTTACACTACTGGAACTTAAAGTGGAAATGAGTTGATTTAAGATCAAGATTTCATAGCTGAAAGTACTAGTTTACATAACAGTGGGCATACGCCAAAGCTTTCTTAAAGCACAGATCTTTTTAAGCAGCAAGTTCACAAAAGGCAACGCTGCTCCTTTCCTTCTGGCTTTATTCTGGCAACACAATTACTCTCCTTCAAATTAAAGTGAGATTTTAAACATTAAGTTGTAAAGTCTTTGAGATAAAGAAAATGTACTCTTACTTCAACAAATACATCAAAATAGTGATGTACTGAATGTTAAATTATAACATAAGACAAAGTGTAAGGTTAAGGACATTTTAAGTAAAACATATCAGTCAAAAAAGCAATTTTAATAGAAGTTAACTTTTAAGTAACACTAGAGTCTATGTATTACCCAGAAGCAAAAGGAGGAGACAACTATTTCGGCACCTTAGAATACTTAAATTCAAGTGGCTTACCACTGCCAGTTCACATGGACTTGGCAATTTAAAAACGTATTATACATATATCAGAACAGAACAGTCACAACAATGGAAACTGACAGTAAGAAGGTGTGAGAATAATTAGGGACAGCTTGAAAAGACAGTGGAGGATTGCTAATATGAAAAATTAACCTGGGTAGTGACAAGTATGTAAATGCATGGAATGATACATACAGGGAAGAAGCCCGACTAGAATAGAACAGAAATTCTGTCAAGGGGAATAAGATAAAATAGAATAACTAAGATTGGAAAGGCAGGTTGGAAATACCATGGAATACTTTAAATGACAGATGAGATCATGTTTTATCCTAGAGGCCACAGGGGAATCTATTCAAGATTCTGAGCAAAGGGAGAGTGCGTGAGAGAGAGAGAGAGAGAGAGAGAGAGAGAGAGAGAGAGAGAGAGAGTGAGTGAGTGAGTGTGTGTGTGTGTGTGTGTGTGTGTAAGAGAGACACAAAGAGAGAGATAGATGGTCAGGTCTGTAGTTTAGGAATATTAATTTGGAAGCTGGATTGAAAGAGACCAATTAGAAGACTAGTGCATATTACAGAGAAATAAAAAGATTATGAAAGAGTTTAGAAATCTAATCAATACAATCATAAACCATGAATTCAAAAAATGAAGATGGAACATGCTACTCACCTTCTGACAGAAGAAAGTGAGCTTGGATTGTAGAAAGAGATGTACAATTTTAGACATAGCTAATGTGGTAATTTGTTTACCTGGACTATATGCTATGTATTGAGGGATTTATTTTTCTTGTTTTTAAAAAAGCTGTTCAATGGAGATAGTGTCAGGAGGGATAAACTAATAAAAAAAATACCTGTTTCTTAAAAAATAAAAATAATAAACTATTTTTAAAGGCTAGGCTAGGCAAGTGGTAACAAGGACCTAAACTAAGGTGATGGCTGTGTGAATGAAGAGAAGGGGACAGCTGAGAGAGATATTATAGAGGTAGATTTGCCAAATTATAGGATACAAGTGTTGAGGGAGAAAGAAGAATCAAGGATAATTCCAAGGCTATGAACCTGGTAACTGGAAAGATGGCAATGGAAAGCATGACATGTGAAAGAGAGGTGGCTTTTAACAGGAACTATGAATTTCATTTTGGACACACCAAATTTCAGATACCTATAGGACACCCAGGTGGAGATGGACAGCACGCAGCTGATAACATGGACTTGGAGTAAAGAGAAATTAAAGCTAGATGTAGACACTCTGGAGTCATCTACACAGAAATAATTCAACTCAGGGGAGCTAAAGGGAGCAGGAAGAGAGAATATGTAGAGAGAGAAGAGAGCTGGACAAAGCTAAGATTTCCCACACCTCAAAATCAGGAAGAAGAGTATGATAACCCAGTAAAGGAATGAGTAGTCAGATGGACAGGGAAGGAACCACAAGAGAGCAGTGTTACAGAAAGTAAGGAGAGAAAGTCTGGGGTAAGGGTGGAGTGTGAGGTGTGGGAGTGGTCAAGTGCCAAAACTACAGAGAGGTCAAAAAGGATTAAGACTAGAAGAAAAAAAAAGGCTTTTCTTAACAATTAAAAGTTTGTTAGCAATCTTGGAAGAAGTAATTTTATTCTAGTGGTGGGGCTGGAAGTTAGGCTGCAAAGGACTGAGAAGCAAATGGGAGATAAGAAGATGGAGCTATGCCACTTTAGGAGTTTGGCTGTGAAAGAGAGAACAAATACAGGGTGATAGCATGAGGAAATGGCAACGTCAAGTGAAAGGGTTTGTTTTTTCAGATTTTGAAGGGTTTTTTTTAGGAGTTGGGGAGCATCTGAGAACTTTTGTAGGTGACAGGGAAGAAAATCAGTGGCTATGGAAAGGATGAAGATGAGAGAAACAAAGGGGATGATGGAGAGGAAAGGCTCCCAGAGTAGACCATAGGGAATAAGATTAAGAGCGTAAGTGGAACATTTGAAAAAAAAAGTCTTACTTCTTTAGCAGTAAATAAGGAGAGAAGGGAGAATGATGAAAAGTGGGGTTTTGAGGTATTTAGTGAGGAAGAAGAGGAGCTTCAGATGGATGGTCTTGTTTCTCAGTAAAACAGCATGTGAGATTCTCTGATGAAAAGGAGGGAAGGAAAAAGAGATGGCATAGGAAAACTAAAGAGAGTGAGCCTGGTTTAGAATAGCTGCAAGGAGAATGTGATCAGAGAATTAAACAGGAAAACATAAACACTTCCCCCAGCAGTGAGGGCCCAGCTGATGAGAATATAACAAGCAGGGAACCCAGTTGGCAGGTGCAGGGCATTCCTCCACAGTGCTTAGCAGCATGGAGGTAGGAACAAAAATAGCAGTACATGGGCACCAAGACAAGAGAATGAATGACTCAAAGATACCTGCTAGTGTGTAAGTGAAATAGATGACAATAGGTTCAAGACGGAAGGAGTGAGGCTCTGGGAGAACAAGGAGGAAGGAATAAAGAAGATGGAGGTCTCACTTGGTGAGCATAAGGAAAAGGTTTAGGAACAGTAAGGCACAACAGAAGATAGAAGGCTAGAAGGTCATCAGTGTTCTGGACAACAGAAGTGAAACAACCATGTGTGGTTGAGGAAGAATCAAGATGGGGGTCATTTGAGATTAGGAGACTAATGAACTTGGAGATCAGGATGTTTAAGGGGACATCAATATGGATGTTAAATTTGCAGGGATGAGAACAGGGGCTGAGCTGGAAAGGAAGACAGTGACTTAGGGACTGAACTTCTCAGGAAGGGAAAAGCTGGAGTTTCACAGGCTAAGACAAGGAATTTACTTACTCATTTTGATAAAGAGGAGTGAACCTCTTGGTGAAGTTACTAAACGTTGGTACAAAAGTACAATCTGGAATTGGAAGTGAGGAGCAAGGAATGTTTCTACTCCTTTGCCTGTCTTTGTAACGCTGCACTTAGCAGAGTGCCTCAAACACAGTAAGTACTTACTATTGTAAGTGGTGACTATCTCCTGCTCCTCCTGCCCAGTACATATAGAGATTCACTGTCTTCTAGGGGGGCAGTTGGCTTAAGAAGATGAAAAGAACGTAAACCTCTTTACCCTTTACCTAGGATAAAAGGGAGCTTGTTTACCAAAAGAAGGATTCTAGAAGACACAAAAGAACAGAAGGAATGAGGATGACATAGACTATGGAGGGGTAAGACTAAGGTAGATAGTGATGAGTTATATGGGGAGTGATACAGAGGGAGAGAATTTTCACTTTAGCATGGGGATAAATGGAGTTCCAGCTGGGAATCTGTTTATTACAAAAAGGTGAATGACCAGGTGATACAGTACAACCACTATCTAGTGTCCTGTGATGCCTAGGTTAGTTAGAGTGGGCTCGTGCTGTCTCCCAGAAGGCCAGAGTCTCATAGCTCTGAGACCTTCATGGCTGAGGAAAAATAAATTGGTGATTATGTCCTTGGAGGCTAGGCTAAACTCAGGCTGTCCAACCTCCTCTCTACACTTGCAGCCCCCTCCTCCCATAAATTCCTCCATTCTGAGGAAGAGCCAAACTGGTCATCCTTTTTTTCCAAGCTCTCCAACTCCTACTCTTCAGCTCTTTTTTTTGATGTCATATTCCTCTACTAGAATTTAAGCTCCTTGAGGACAGAGACCATCTTTCTTTTTGCTTGTATGTGTGTTCCCAATGCTTGCTACATAGTAAGCACTTAAAAAAGGCTTGTTGACTTAGCCTCAAAAAATGGTGGGTTTCAACCCATTTCATGTCACACAGACCCTCAGCTTCTATTCATGAGCTTTAAGAGCAAAGGCCCTCATGGTATCTTAGGTACAATGAAGCTTGAGATCAAGGTAGCTTGAGTATCTTTCAGAACAGTTTCTCTGATTCCCTAGGTGCCTAGAGGCTAAGCTCTGAGACGGCAGAAAAACCTTTCAGAGCAAGCGCTCTCTAGCCTCAGATGATGAGTGGCTGAGGCCTGTGATGCCTTTAGGGAGGATCTACATGGGATGATGCTGTGTATACAAAAATAATACAAAGTCAAATGTGGTAAGGGGAAAAAAAAAGAGTCAGACCAAGTATTACAAGAAAATTTGAGAAACTATTGCTGTTTCTTTGTGTAGTTCAACAAGCATTTGTAGCTCTAACTTCCATCTACCCTATCCCTCAAAAAAAAATAGTCCTTTTTTTTTTTAAAGAAAAGGAGAGGAGCAAAAAGGAAAGAAAAGAAAAAAGGAAAAAACCCCTTTACTACTTTTCTGCTTTACCTAGGAAACTTTAAACAAATATTACTTCTGGTTTCTGAATCTCACCAAACTTCAAAAGCCTAATTTAAATATATATGTATATGTGTATGTGTGTGTGTGTGTGTGTGTGTGTGTGTTTTTAAGGGGTGGGGTTAAGAATTACAGGTATCAATGTAATGACTGGGCTATCTCATACTACACTTTTGGAAAGTTTTAAATGCATTTCTACAGGAATAGTCACCTAACATTACAAACTAAAGTATAAACGACATTTTCTGTATGGAAATTCACTGAGTCCTTTAAAAGGAAAATCTTCAAATATAAGCTAGCACAATTTTCAACCTAACAAGAAGTTTAGTGGAAAATGTAATGAAACTACAAATCTATCAAAAGATATTTATCAAAAGACTATCTTTAACATATCCATTAAAAACATCTTTTAACATCTGAACTGCATGCTTCCAAAGCAATCCATGTACCACAAAACAAGGCAAAATGTAATAAATTACCTGAATCGAAGACGCTGATTCATGTGAATGGTCACTAACAGCTGCTCCTTGAGAAGGTGGCAGAGGAACAGTGTGAGTCTTTTGGGTCAATGGACTAACAATGCTTTCACCTGTCCTATGTGACTGGCAGGACTCTTTTCTAAGGGGAGACTCCACAGTCTGCTCATCTCCAAATGCAGCCCAAGAGCAACTCTCCTTTTGTTCATCCTCAAAGGCATTCCAATCTGCAGCTTGGTTAGGACCAGCTGAACTAAAATCTGCAAAATCATCAGGGTCTTGAAAAGCACTGCACTCATCTTGAATTTTTGGCCCCAAATCAAGAGACCCAAATTGACTATAACCACCATTTTTTAGTTTTGAAGGAGGTTCAATTCCTGACACAGAAGACTTCCTTGCAACTTCATACCCTTCTGATAAACTATCAGAAGTCTGCTTCAGTTCTAATTGAGAATATGTTATTTCCTCTTGGCAAGTAGCAGCATCTGTATCCCCAAAATCACCAAAGTCATCACCTGGTTCACTAAAATGCAGAAACTGTTCTGAGGACTCTTCAAAAGTTATGTCACTCATTGAATCTTGAGTACCACTAACAAAAGGTGGAGTTGCACCACTGACTGTGCCAAAATCACCAAAATCATCTTCGTTTGTATCACTGCAAGATACAAAATCATTACTACTATCACCATTTTTCAAATCTGTAGACTCATCAAAAACATTTTCTTCTGTCAGATCTATGCTGGTGCTTTGGATGTTTGTAAATTTAACAGTTTCTTCTTTGGGACGATAACTAATGTCATTGGTTTCAGAAGTTTTAATACTGTCCATACACAAGGCTGCACATTTAAAAGTTAAGAAATCAAGTTTCTCATTAGCTTCACACTGTTCTCTCCTGCTAAGCATTTCTGCATTATCAGTTGTGTCTACTGAATTCAAGGCTGATTGTGTGCTAGTATCTGATTCAATTTGTTCCAGTGTCGAAGGGTCATATTTTTCATTAGTTACTACACTGATTTCTGAAATGCAAACCTGATTCTCTTGACCAAGAGTCTTTTCTTCATTTTCACAGCTTCTATCCAAAGACATCTGTTTTACAGAACTTCCTTCATGGATTTTATTTATTTTATTGTTTTCCTGAATAGTTAGTGCTTCTCTGACATTTAAAACTTCACATCTTATTTCTTCCAGTTGTACCCTTTCCTTTTTGGAAAATGTGGCAAAATCTGCAAATTCCTCAGCAGGACTGGGTGTGGAGTCTAAATGAAACTCAGTGCTGTGACTTTTTAGTCTCTCTGAATCAATGATGTCTAAGTTTTCCTTTCCCTGAGGATTTACAGTGTCCAGTGCTGCAAACCCATTTGTTAGAATCTCTATACATGTGGGTTTCTCACCATTACAGCTATCTATTTGCTCGTCATGACTAACTATTTTCATATCAATTCTAAAGCTGTCAGAAGGGAAGCTTTCTGATGTCCCACCCTTTTCTCTCTGCCCTACTACTTCATTTAAATCTCCTGGACTTCCTATATTGTCAATTAAAGTATCTGAAGTTCTTGACTGAATTATTTCTTTGCTGGTGGTAGAAGATAAAACATCAGACTGTTCCTTCATAAGACTAGGAAGTTCAGCAATGCTGTCTTTACCATTACCATTACCATTTTTAATGGGCTTAAAGCTTGTAAAGCTATCTACATTTTCTGAGAAACCATGAATCGGCATAAAATGATTTGAAGATATAAATTCTTCCTTGGAATTAGTAAACTCTGGTGCATCAAAATCAACAAATCCTACACCAGAAGGGCTGACTTCAGAAAACCCACCAAATTCTCCAAATTCATCTTCATCATCATCATCAGCTCCATTGTCTAATGGTGGTGGAGATGAAGAGTACATTCGAATGATATCTGGTTCCATTGTTCAACTGCTTTTAGAAGATTAATTTATACCTGCCAAAAAAAAGAAGAAAAAAAGGAGGTTTTTTTTTTGGTTCTGACTATATTTTTAAATTCTTAAAATTTTGAAAGGTGATGCTGAATTACGTTGGATTTTTTTTTGCTTCCTTAAGGGTTAACTGTTTAAAAAGCTGTATATAGACAAGAAATATCTCTAAATTCTAGAGTTTTGGGGGAAGGGTTTAATCACTATATTAAAAAACATAGGATTTCATCAGAATAATATGTATACCTATATATTGGAATATAGTTAAAATTTTTATAATATATTGATCAAAATTTCTTTTGGCTATGGTCTTAAAAGCAACCAATGACAGGAATATCAGTACCTTTAATAGCCTTAGACTTACTAGCCTTTGAACCATAGAAAAAGAAAAGTCACTGACATTCCTTTATCCTTTTTCTGATACAGGGACACTTAGCTAACAAGGGGAACAAAAAAGGAGTATAAATTTTGAAGAAAGTGGGAATAAATGGATTACTTAAATGTATTTCAATTGTCTATGAATTTTTGAAAATCATGACATATTTAGTGCTTCTACTGGTTCTTAAAAGCTAACAGTAACTTTTCCACTGAAGAAAAAGAATAAAAGCAGTTTAATTCAGCAAAAGCTTAAATGACAAAATGATGCAGATTCCTTGGCATATCTTTAAAGTTTTCTTCTAAAATGTCTCAAAATCAATTATATTAATACTTTCTGTTATTATATTTGATTATTCAGGTAAAGCTACTTTTGGGAAGGGAATGCATAATAGGCTAATATGACAAAATTTTAGAAAATAAAATTATGAGATGTACTTGGTTACATTTGGAGTTTCAATATTTCATATTAATACCAAAATAAGAATCATAATATGAACTACCAAAAAATCATGATTTTTTTAAAATGAAAAAACTTTTAATGAAAATTACACAGGCTTTTAATAGTGATATTTCACAGTTCAGAAAATTCAATCTTTAAACTTGAAAAACGCTAACTGCGGATTTCTAAGCAGTTGTTTATCTCTGAAGTATTTTAAAAACATAAAACACTGAAATACAAGATATCAGATGTATGTTCAAATTCCTCCTGCCAGCCAATGACATTTCACAACTCCTTCTCCCTCTATTCACACAGAAGTAAATTGATTTGTGATTCAATAATACGCCATTCAACTTGAACTCGGAGGATACTATGGGACAGTCAGATCAGCTCTATCTTCAAGCTCAAAAAGCATTAGAATGGAAGTTAAAAAAAAATAAAAATGAAGATAAAGGGTTCAGCATGTCCTACAAAGATACTGAAAAAATGAAGTCAATCCGACTAACATAAATTTTCATTTTCTACACTGCCAATCTTTTTTTAAACAAATAAGGTAAAGAGTATCCAACTGGTCTGGAAAAAAAAAAGCAGCGAGCATGTTTCTTACAAAATTTCCTAGTACTATATTAAGAAGGGCTTTTTTTAGACGACTCAAGTTTTTAAAACTGAAAAAAAAGACTAGAGGTATCTAAAGACCTGAGATTGTAAGAATTATTTTAGTTGTTTCACAGGTAAAAAAGAGTCTCCCAGTTAAATTTTATTCATTAGACCAATGTTTTGGGAATTGAAAGTCTCTACAATTACTGTATATGAAAAGTAGTGTTATTGATATCATTTTAGATAACATAATTTGGTGTTCCTCTGGCAACTCTGTAAGTGTAGGACGTGGAGTTATGAGGATGTAGCTTTGAGTACTAGCTGATATTTCCTATCTGTGATCCCAGGTAAATCATTTAACCTCTATGAGTCTGTCTCCTCATCTACAAAATATGGCTGAATAGCACCTACCTCAGTGTTGTGATAATCAAATGAGAATTATGTAAGGTGCTACATAAATGTGTGAAAGATAATTAATTGGACTTCTATTTTGTTCCAATCAATATGAATGAGTCTGATATGATTCTATAGAGATAGTGACTGTAAGTTCTGCATATTAGGCCCCAGAGCTGTGAACTGTGGATTGTAAGTTCACTTGCTTAATCACAAGAAGCTAACTAGAGAACCTGCACTCTTGTTTTTCCTTGTTATGGTGACTAAGCCCAGCTTGGATCAATTACATGTAAAGTCCCTCAGCTACTTTTGCTTCCCCTCTATCCCTTGTCATCTATCGCCCATGATCATGAGCACCTGACCAACATATCGCCTTGTCTGCCCACCTGTCTACTAGCCCATAAGCCCATGTAGGTGTTTTGACATCTGTATCAGTCCAGCCCATGGGTCTGTTTGGTAGGATCCTGAAAGGTCAAGACAGGTCTGTCAAGGTCTATCTATTAACCCATTTGTCAACCAATGGGATTCTGTATTTTTAGTCTGCTTCATCTCTATCGTCTGAGTATCCAGCACTATAAAACTAAGGCCCTGGAGGAAGGGGGCATCTCAGACTGTGAGGAAGATCTGAGGGTCCCCTTCATTAGAGGGGGCCATAGACCCTTTGATAACATGCTGTTGGCTCAAAGCTTTGCCTTAGCTACTTTTCTTGTAGGTTGGACAATTTTGGACCTCACAAATGTTCATATTACCATTAAAACTTGAATACTCTCAAATGGAGAAAAATGATAAAACTATATAACCTGCTTCTTAGCATCACTGAATTATAAACCCCCTTTTTTTTGGCAATGAGAAATAAAGCTTAATGTTTAATTTCTGGCATTAAGATTCAGAGTTTGCATTTAATTCCTAAACTGTTTCAGTTTAGAAAACTTAGTATGAAGGTATGTACCTACTATCAGTTCAGAATACCTAGTATGGAGAAAAAATTACACCTTTTGCTCCTGACAACAACAAGACCACACAATATTCTCTCTCTCTCTTTTTTTTTTTCAGGGGGTTGGGAGTGGGGTGTGTGTGAGGCAATTGGGATTAAGCAACTTGCCCAGAGTCACACAGCTAGTGAATGTTATATGTCTGAGGCCCGTCTTCAACTCAGGTCCTCCTGACTCCAGAACTGGTGCTCTATCCACTGCGCTACCTAGCTGCCCCAACACCACATGATTATTTAAGAGCTTGGTAACAATCATTTCTTAAGAAAGGGAGCATAGCACTGCAGGGTCAGAAGGCCTGGGGTTAGGTCTCTGTTCTTCTTATTAGTTGTTAGACCTTGGGCATGTCACTATCCGACTATACCTCAATTTCCTTATCTGTTAAATGAAAATACTTGCATTACTTACCTCACCCACCTGGTTGTTGTGAGGACAAAGCATTTTGTAAACCGTAACAATGCCTTCACATAGCATTTTATTATGTACCAATGTATACTCCCCCACTTTATGTATGTCAAAGATTCTCACTAGCTAGAAACTGTCCGTTCAATTTGTTGCAAACTGTTTAATTTTCTTTACTTTTTAGCTCATGCCTCCTTTCTCCTTAAATCAGTTAAGGTTACTAAGTAGGTGCCTCCATGTTTACCCTCTCCACTACAACATATCTTTCTCTATATCAATTCTCTAATCCCTTCTAGGCTCAGAGGAAGAGGTATCCATTCTCTTAAAACTAAACCATTTAATTATGTCCAAGAACACAGTCCTTCCCAGTTCCTGCAGGATCTTGCTACCACAACTATGCTCTTCAAACTATCCAAGTATGTTTGGCTACTTTTTCCCATCTTTAAACAAATGGATCTCCATTACCTATCCTGGAGGCAGGAAGGAGAAAGAGAAACCACGATACTTCTCATAGTCTCTGTTCTCCTCCATCTCCATACCTCCACAGACACTTTAAGTCTGGCTTCATTTCCAATCGACTCAAACTTTTCTTAAAAATCACCACTGACCCAATTACAGGGTCTTTTGCCTACACCTTTCTTCTTGCAGTTTAAGTATTGGTGCCATCTCGGCTTCTTGAACTTCTCTCCAATCACAGTCTCTGTGACACAATGATATTCTGCTTTCTCTCTCTCTGTCTGTGTCTGTCTGTCTCTCTCCCCTCTTACTTCTGTTCCGGATAAGTGTTTTTTCAAGGTTCAATGCTGTGCTTTCCCTTTCTCATTAACTTTCCTGGCTTTAACTACCTACCATCTCCATGCAAATGACATCCGAGTTTATAGTCTACTCCTATCCTCAACTAAGACTTAGTTACTTATTTTCAATTAGACATCTCCATCTGATTTCTTGACTTCATGTCCAACTCAATTAATATGGGGCAAAACTTCTCACCTTCTCCCCAAAACTAGCTTCCTCTTCATGCATTCTTGTTTCTGCCAATGACATCATTTCATCATTTAACCAGGCTCATAACCATGAAGTCATTCTCTGACTCATCTCCCGCTGTCTCCCCTATCTAGTCTTTATTCAAGTTATCTTATTATTTTCTTCATACAATCTGTCCTTTCCTGTTCCCACTGCAACTACTTCATCCTGGACTCTACTCATCAAATACTTAAGCAACCTTCTAGCTGGTATCATTGATCTTTTTCCTTTCCAATCTATCCTGCAAGCCAAGAGCAGCATAATTTTTTTAGCATCATTTTCATCACATCACTACCCTGATCCAAAATTTTCAATAACTCCCAATTTCTTGCTGTATCAAATCTAAATTTCTCCTACCTAGTTTTCACGGCCCTCCATACTACAGCCCGTATTTATTTCCCTCCAGGTGAGCTTTTCACTAATAAAGTGTTACGCTCATCCCTACGAAACCATGGTTTCACTCCTGATGTTCCCCATCACCTGATTTTCAGCCTAAATCAGCCTACCATTCAAGGATCTCTATGATACACCAAATACCATAACTTTCACTTATTTGACAAGTATTTTTTAAATGCATACTACGTGTAAGTGCTGGAAAAATGGAGAGAAACAAAAGAATCCTAGTCCACAAAAAGCTTTCTACTAAGGGAGAACATTAAGTTAATAAAAAGTGTATGTTAAGGGGGCAAGTCACTAATAATTATGGTGTGTGGGGAAGTAATAATTCATGAAAACACTGTGTAGGAGATCCCTGATCTTAGTCCACTGGGAGGAAGAGGAGGTGATGACAACAAACATTAAAGTGTTAAATTAGTTGGACGATTAGTCGGACAGCTTAATAGGTACCAAATTAAAAAAAAATTTTTTTCTTAATCTCTAGAGCAAGAGTGTGAGGTATTATGTGTAGAAAAAATTACCTCCTGCCCAAAGGCACATAGAGTCTAATAAAGATGTTCTTCACCTGAGGTCCAGGAATTTAAAAACAAAAAAGTTTTGTCAGCTATATTCCAATATAGTTATTCCTTCCACATAATGACTCTCCATTGTCGTTTTGATATACTGTGGGTTGATCAGGTGTTAGTCTAAGTCCAATTCCTGCCAGAATGCCTTCTATTTTCCCAACAGTTTTTATGAAATAGGGAATTCTTTCCTAATTAACTTACGTTTTCTGGTTTGTCCAACACTAGGTTATTAAGTTCCATTATTTCTGATTTTCCCTTATCTGGTTTGTCCCATTGTTCAATCTATTTTTTAACTAATGCCATAGGGTTTTAATAACTGCTATTTTCTAATATGGTTTGAAATCCAGAAGTGCTATTCCCCTTTTGTCCCTACCTCTTTTCATCGTTCCTCCTGATAGTCTAGATATTTTATTTTTCCAAATGGATTTTGTAATTATTTTATCGAGTTCTGTATTCTTTTGATAATACTAAAGCTATAAACTAAGTTTGGTAGTATTGTCATTTTTACTGTACTGATACAGTCCAGCTATCAGCACTGAATATTCTGCTCACCATTTAAGTTGTTTATGCAAATATTTTGAGTGCTCTGGTAAGTTGATTCTCAGATATCTTATGCATTTTGTAGTTATTTTTGATGGTTTATTCTAAAGCCAACAACTTTGCTAACGCTATTATTTAAATGAATACTTTTGTTAATTCCCTTAGATTTCTGGCTAGGTGGTGCAGTAGATAGAGCACCAGAGCTGAAGTCAGGAAGACTCATCTTCATGAGTTCAAATCTCGCCTCAGACACTAGCTAAAATCCTGTTTATCTCAGTTTTCTCAATCTGTAAAATATGAGAAGAAAATGGCAAACTATTCCAGTACTTTTACCAAGAAAACCCCAAACAGGGCCATGAAAAATCAGACACAACTGAACAACAATGCCCTTAACTTCCTTCCACTGTCTTATTGCCATTGCTAGACTTTTCAGAACTATATCAAATAAGAGTAAGCATCCTTGCTTTACTCCCATATTTACTGTGAAAGGTTCTAGTGTGTGCCTATTTCATATGATGCTTGCTTTCGGTTTTATATAC